TTTATGGCACCCCTGCTGAAGGCCCTTCTGGAGAGGTATAAGGATGTCTTGGAGCTGGAGAAGTTGGCACCCAACTTTCCCAAACAGATGAGCAACTTTGTCGTCCAGTTTCGCACCTACGTCAATGAGCACAGTGACGAGTGGGAAACCGGTTTCATTGAACGGGTGAGTCAATCTCAGGGGCCTTAAACTATCTCAACCGAATTTGTTTGTTTTGCATCCCCACGAGTACTAAGATGAATTTTTTACTTTTTGAATTGGAAATCCGTCTGCCTTTCAGTAATGCCACTCAGAGGGTGGTGATTCGCCCATGTTACTGAGCAGGCAACGAATAGTCATAGATCATTTCTGTTCACCGGAATGTGATTCTTTGTCTGCTGACGTTTCGGGCAGCTGGGCCGGTTGTCCTTTGTCAAACCGAGAACTTACTTTATTGATCAGCAATTCAAAGTTGTGGCTGCGTGTGTTGGCCATGGGCTGATTGATTTTTATTCCTACGCTCGCTGCATGGCCCTGCAGGTGGATTTTGGAAAAACTTGACGGCAACTAGTATTGTGTTCCGTCTCCACGGTAGAGGATGCTGGTAATCCTGCTCCCTCTTCCGGTGTTTTCGTCACGGGGGCCGTCTTTGTTTGCAAATCCTAGGTTCGGTTTGACCAGGTCCTGTCCTTTACTAACGTAATGGCGTAGGACTTTGTAGGACGCGGGGAGGTCCAGATGCCTGTTGACAGATTTTGCGTCTGAGTACCATGGTGCAAATTTCAGTCTTTCTAAGCCGGGAATTCTTACTTTTTCAAACTCGAGAATTAACAGTCAATCCCAAAAGGCAGCCTTTGGTTGTTTTCACTTCTGAATTTATATTCTAATGCGTTAGGGGCGTCACTGAAAACTGTGCACGGAACAGAAACCCCATACACGTAAACTATACTAACAGGAATGAATTAAAGCGTTCGCGTTCCAGGTATTTGTATAGATGGGGAAGAAGGACTATCGAGCACCGGATCAATTTGTTTATTATCCTGAACTTTCGAAATCTTCCAGGATTCCATCGTCAGAGATAAGAAACGGCAACAAAAGGGGGCTAATTGTAGTGGTTGTACACCAATCAACTGTCAAGGGTCATCAGGTCGTAAGGAGATAAATCACAGCGACGGAAAAGGAGGGGAGTTCAAGAGATCAGGATACTAAACAAATTGATCCGGTGCCTTATTTTGAGCGTAAACGCTTAAAATATCTTCGGAAATGGCGGTCGAACTGTCGTACACACCTTGGAACTATGATAAGGTCCTCACCCCTGTAATTTCGAAGTCTATCAACTGACGGGATAATCAAACCGAAGACTAAACGGCTATGCGATCGAGGCCTCCATTAGAACTAGGATTTCGAAAGCAGATGGCAAGTGGTCCGCAGAGGCCCTCTGCTTAGCATTGGCGGCAATTGCGCTCACGGCAACTTGCAGTCTTTGGCGTTTCTTTCTCCCATTGGAACTCGGTGAATATGGAATGGGCGGTAAGGTGGATTGCCATAAACGAATGTATGTGCAAATCATCCTTCTGTCCGCTTTGGGGTGCAATATGTTAGATTTAGTGAATTGCTACGTTCGCACTGTCCTTCAGCCGAGGCAGTGAATGTGGTGGGGCTTCACATCGCCCCCCCCCGTTGGCGACATCCATCATCCAGCCTGGATCCCTGGATTTTGTCCCAGTTGTGGTACACTTCGAACGGCTACGGATAAATGTCACACTCAGACCACGTTTTCGACAGTCCAGTGTGGAGAGATTAACTTCGTCAGATTTCTTGGCTGTACTACACGCGCTTTCATAGGGAGATCCCTTATACTGAAGAACCTCTCAACTTCTGCGCAGACTTTACTGTTCGGGTTAGTCTTGTTAGGAGGAACATAACAGGCAGATAGCATGCAGGAAGCAGTCGCGCTCACAGCAGGCTATCGATCGGCCTACACGCGAGCGAACGCATCCTTCCAGACAATCAATCCTTTAAATTTCAAACTACATTCAGTCACTGAGTTACCAGCCAATCCTACCAGCGCCTACGTCAGGAGAGAAGCTGATTAGCTCGATGGACATCGTGTTACACGCGTTTTTTGTCCCAAATATGTTGTAACTTTTACACTCAAAGACTTCTGCTGTTGCGCTCTTCTTGTCGTGCGCTTCCTTGGGGGACTCACACAAGGCCTTATTGGGCGGTGATATCTCGGCCTTGGCTACCGTTACAACATAGTGAACCGGCTTGGTAGAATTAATTTCGAACGGAAGCCTGAGCCTGCAAGTCTATTTTGACAGACGTTTCGATTGTGAACTGTGTCCCATTTAAAATTCAATCAAATCGAGGAAAACTGGCTTCTATCGATTTTCATTGGCTTCCCGCCCCACTGTGTTTAATTCTTTCACGATGAATTGCCGCTCAGCTTGTTTACATAA